CATGGTGGGCAAGAGCTGATGTACAAGTCAGTGCTTTCATCTTTCACAATCCGGGCGTGGAGAGCTACCTCTCAGACTCGGCATCGCAGCACGAGTTGACTAGGGAGATGGAGTCGACGCGCAGCCCTGTTGTTGAGTGGGATGGAATTTTGCGTACGTCGCTCCACTTCGCCTCGTTCGCCGCGACTGGAAAGTAACGCTGCTGCTTGTCGACCTCGGATGGAAGACTACTGGCCTGGACATGTGTCTATCAAGGATTTTATCCCCCCTTGGTAAGCGATGCCACGGGTCACTACCTTCGATCTGCATGAGACAAGCGACACTTTTAGTGGGCACTGCTGGATCGAGTGCCTTTCTGGTCAACACCTTCTAACAGTAAGTCTTTTCGTGACAAGGTTCTCCACTAGAGTTACCATGCTCGACATTCAGTGGCGACAGCACTTGTTATTCTCAGTTCCCATACACTCCTTCGAGATGTAGGCCATAGAAATCAACTTAACATCATCCTCAGGGCTAACTTGGAGAGAAACCTTATTCATTTTGAACTCCATCGAGCGTCCAAATCCTGCTATTCGAAAAATTTGCTGGGTCTGCTTCAAACTTTCCTTGATGAAGACAACCTAGGAATCCAAGAGGTAAGCCACGCTTCTCTTGAATTCGAAGAAAATATTTGCATATAGAGGCATACTATAAGTCGGTCCTGACCCCTTTCGTCTTTTCTAGATCCAAATCTGAATGACAATGAGAACGACCACGGGGATGAACTGATTCTCAGCAGAGCACGTTATACTTTGGGGATCTCCTACAAGAGGGATCGTGTTTGGTCCGTGGAGGGAGGAGGGCTGCATTCTGCAAAATTTTTACCAATAGCAGGCATTTATTAATGTACGACATCCACTCATGGTCAGGGTATAGCATCGTTGTGTGGAACGTTTAGGGGGGTCGTTCTTTCCCGTTGGGGAGGGGAGGGGTCGTATTTGGTCGTCGTTGGAAGAGGGGAGGGGTCGTACCGAGACCCTCATTTCAGGTGGGGGGAGTCGTACTGACACCCTCTCTCGAGGGAGGAGGGGTCGTACTTACACCACCATTTCACACATCACGATGCTGTACCCTGCATCCAATTGCTTGCAGACACTGATAACTTTGTAAGAGTTTCTGAGCTCACGAAACAATTGGTTTTCTTTGGCAAGAACGATTGAAATGAACAGCACTTTGTGAAAGGCCCAGCTGTTGAGAAATAATGCACTCCAAGATTTTTCAGGACAGATTTTGCGATTTGGGATCAGTTCCAGATAGGTAGTGGAGTGCAATATGAATTTGTAGATGATATTAAGCCAAGCAAACAAGAGAACAGAAGATACTGTCGAAACTAGCCTAATAAGCTAGTGGTGCTTTTCGCAGTAGAAAGCCCCGAAAGCGTATTTGAAGAAACGAGAGGCAAAGAGACTGGAGCGACACCAGAGACAGAAAATTAGAGAGCACGAATATGGCCGAGACGATAGATATGCATACATAGATATGAATGTGACGCCGTTGTCCCAAGGTAGTTTCATGAGAATAGGAACCAAATAGTGCGATGCGTTCACCCAAGGAAGAACAGGTCCCAGCAAAGCTTTCACTCATTTTGTCAAAAAGTTCACGGTTGCGTTCTAACCTGGGTTCTAGCGTGGGCTAGCTCTGGGTCTACGTGCGGCACCTTGCTACACAAGTATTTTCCTTAATCAAGTAATGTGCCCTGAAGACACAGTTAACGATCACCGTGTCAAACATCAGCCAAAAAACCGCAGCCAACTTTCGCCTTCTAGATCACCAAAATCAGGAAGACTGCAATGAAATCTGGGAAAAAAAATGCCGGACATAAAAATAGCCCGCTAAATGCAGAAGTCTTTCGTCAACCGGAAATGCATTAGTAAACATTTTTTCGATCGGAAGCCAAAACGTTTCCGGGGTGAAATGTCACAAAAAATCGCTGGACTGCTGGAAGACGGGACACAATGCCCCAAAAAATGTCAAGTAATTGTCGCATACAACAATAGCACTCATGGGACTGCCAACCGACTGACGAATTCTCCCACGTAATTAGAATGAGTTGAAAGGCGTGGCAACGCAGTAGTAAGTCGATTTTAGGTCAAGAGCCCTTGAGTGACTGGCGAAGGAACACTAACGGAAAAGTAAGTGCTACTAATCATACAGGAGGGAACGAAGGAAGTAAGACTGTTTACAAGTGGAATACAAGTGGAGCAGGTAACTTGTGACAGCTGCCACAAAGGGAAAAAAACGCGACAATGTCAGGGTTTCCTCTTCAGGAGTGGGAACCTATAAGGGAGACGATGCATGGGTAAAAGGTGGCGTTTGTTGCGTATACGGCACGCGAATCGAATCTCAAATCCGAAACAAAACTGCTCAGGTTTTTAAGACTCAGCGCAGACTTCAGGTGTTCAAAACCCTCTGAAAAGCAACTGATGGGAGTCAACGACTGCGAAGAATCCGCCAAACGAAGTGTTGAAAGCGAGTGCGACTACATAATATGAGTCCAAGATAAATTAGAAAACCATGGGGCTTATCATTCCCCTTTCGGGACCTACAGTCGTTTTCGCTATGGACGCTGCAGGCTATGTCACGGGCCGGGTTTGGCGCGGCGCCAGGCAGTTTTCCACCAATTGTTGTCGCTTGCCCCCTTCGAAAATAGGTGAAGAACGGGCTGACGCCATAGCAACTCCAGGATCAGTGATACGCCCCATAATCCGCAGCACTGGTCCTGGCAGTGTTTTATTGCAGCCCTGTTGATCTACTCTGGGTACGATTCAGGTTTTCCCCCTCGAACCGCTCTGAAACTAGCTCCGAAGAAAAAGTGGACCTGCTGGCATAGATGGAGATCGATCCGAGACTTGATTCAAGCGCTGTGCGGTGTGATATCCGCCGTCACCACCACTACCATCTTCGCCATGACGAGTCTTAGAAGAGAAGAGGACAAGCTATGAGTCTTGTTCATGCAAAATCCTTCATCAGTAGGCAACGAAAGAATTTGGAGTTCGATAGGTACCGAAAGAAGTGGGAAATTTACACCATTTGTCTAAAGCGAGCACCGAGAAAAAGTTCCGGCTTGCTGCTTCCAAAAGCGTAAACCCAAACAATGTCCTATAAAAGAGTGAAGTAGTAGAAGGCACGGACTTTGGGCAGATCAGTCCCGTAGAACGGCAGAATTTTTTCCAGCTATATCCAGGACAGCCAGGGAAGTGGGAAGCACACCCGCTACGTACTGTCCTCGAAATAATAGTCCATCACATCCATCTGGGGTGAACGATTCTCAACTTTCTAATATCCAATCTCCTTTTGGTGTTGAACAGTATCATTGCGTGGATGGAATAAGATCGACTAACTTGCCAGTTATGCCGAACTCACGTAGAAACACTGCAACAACGTGCACTAAGTCTGTTGAAGGGGAATGCGTGGCGTATTCCACACTAATGAACATAGAAAGTGTCTAGTTTTATTTCAAACTATACAGGGTAGAGAACCTCAAATGGAAAAAGTTACTCTCCGTTTCTTTTCAGAGAAGCAATAAAAGTTAATGGCGTTGTTAACACTGAAAAAATATGAAGTAAGTGGATCCACATGGATCGACGTCCTAGTAAAGCGTTTAAGCAGCTTATGCAACGGCCCGACGCTCGTCAGCTCAGAATTAAGACTTTATGTCGGCTCCGCCCTTCATACAATTTCTGACTGGCAAATATGGCAGAAAATGCTGTCACGCAAAGGTCTTTGGTTGGGTGAGAAGACTTAAAGAGGCTCTGAATACCTAAGGCTAAGCTGACAAGCTGACGCTAGAAGGTCGTGGTGAAGTAAGTGCAGGAGTGGAGGATTTATAGGGTACCTACGAGCTGCAACAGTATGGGGATGTTGATAAGCTTCTAGAAAGGTTCCCATTCACACAGCACTTTTTTCCAGAAGGAGTTCAAAAGAGTAGGTCTCATAGGAAGAAGTATCAGGGATAGTGTAACCTTTACAAGCTTTAATTTTATTAGCATATACGTCCTCGATGGAGTGGCCTGCAACCCTCCATCTTCTCACTACTTTTTTCTCCCTTGTTGGAACGCCCACGTTATTTCAGGTTAGTGCACATGAACCTTACTGGCAATATGGTTAGGTCATCGGTTCGATAGGCGTTCTCTCCACATTTGTTCCCATGATTCCTTAGCGTTGATCTCGCGCCAACGGGAGGTTCGCTGCTCTTCCAGAACAATGTCATTTTCTCCTACCCTAGGCGCCTTCTACCTTTATTTTGCATCCAGTGAGATCTCTCCTGTTAATGTCTATACTTTTTCCTCTAAGGTTCGTCGTGGAAGCTCGTCTTGAGTTCCGACATTCAA